CTGACGTCCTTGTAGAGCGACCATCTCAATATGCCAGACGAGTGGAAGAAATTTCTCTTATTTTCAAGAACATACATCACCTGCTCAATTCTATTCGTCCTCACCAGGTGAAAACTACTATGACATGCGTAAAGTAGTTTTACGTCAACTGTCAATGGAAGAACATGAACTAGGGGCCTTTGTCCTGCTTTCTGATGCCGTACTTTTGTGTTGTCACAGGCTAGAGCAACACTCATCCATATCCTAGAACTCCAGATACAACGACGCAAACAAGCGGTGGAGGACATTAAAAGGTAATGATACTTTTGCACACATTTGAATGGTGATTTTGGAATTATTGTTGTTTGTTCTTGTACTATACCATGGTTGAGATTTCAAAAGAAGGTCCAACCAATATCTTTCTGAAGAATATTTGGTCTAAGTTTGATTCCGAGTCAGATATTTTCCCCAAAATACCTGTTTTCAGGACTCTCTTGCATAAATTGTGTTATTTGGTTGGCTTGCTGTACTATTTCCTCGTAGTTGTGGACAGGATTAATTACTGCATAACTTGTTACATTTAACATTATTTTGGCCTTGCATATTGTTAGGTTGTGATTAGGTAAAGAGGATATGTTACCAGTGTTGACAAATGCCAGCTTTTGTTCTTGTTTCTACTTCCTTTTAATCAACATTTGAAAGATGGGGGTGGGGCGCATTTGGTATTTTCCGTGAATAAAAGAGAAATTTGTTTTCTTGGCATTTTCAACCTTAAAATTATTATCAAATTTAGAGTGTGCATAACATTCTCGATCCATTTTGTGGTGATAGGAGAAGAGAAGAAGCACGGCGACTTCTAGCGGAGGCACTTGGAACTCTTGATGGACAATAGGAATTGTCTGATTACTCAAAACTGTGTTCGACGTAAAATGCTTTACCTTTGGACATTTTTTGGATAGTTCATTCCCCTTTTTTTTTTCGAAAAGTTATCATTTAATGTTGTTCATCTGGTTTGAGCAATGTGACCCTGGATTTTCACGATCATTCCGGGATATTTATGTGGAAAAGTCATGTTACATGAGGCAAGTAATTATAATGTAGCTTAAATGTCTGTGTACACCAAATTATGACAGAGTATTGAGTTGTCCTTTTTACAGATTTGAAAATTCATTGCCCAGCATCTCAAGCTCGGGAAAATTCACCGGTTTTTGACTGTTCGATCACACTCATATCCATGTGTGTGAGTGCGTGATTCAACAGTAAAAAAACCGAGTGAGAGGATTGCCTTCACCACAGGTATGAATTTTTGTTCTAACTCAAGAAGTGCT